TAGATTCGTTTGTTCCCTTCTGGATTAGAGTATTCATAGCTAATTCTTCTCTGATCAAGTGGAATAAGATCCCAGATATTTCAGCACCTACCAAGTGTTTGATGAAATGTCTGAACAACTAATACCAGAGATATACTTGCTTAGCCTAAGAGATTAGATGTCTAAGAATTTATTGACATTAATGGACTGGTTCGTTATGCCTGTTTACTACATGTTTCATCAAAGAGATTTGAGATTAGGAAGTGTTGTACACATGATAGTTTCTGCCAAGAGATTGGATTAACTAGTATTTGATGTCCATTGTCTAGGGATTAGTATGTTTGTCGTTTGTTAAACACTCCAAGTAGATTAGCATACTCTACCTACATCAATAACCTCATCCTCAGGATCTTCTATCCATTTGTGATTTCTGTTTAATTCTCTTGCTATTTACTTATTCTGTTGTCTTCTTGCTAGTATTGATAATCATTACGTTTTAGCTTATGCATGGTAGTCTATGTTTATCGCATGTTTAACATATTCGCTTAGGATCATTGAAAACCAAAAATCATTTATGCTTGCTTGACTTAATCATTTATGATATATCTTGATTGTTAGCATCACACCTGATTGGATTGATACCTATTGTACCGCAAGGACATGATAGTACTCTAGGGTAATTGATAGAAAAATCCTAGTATCAAGAGGACGTAGTGGTAGCGAAAGGAAAAATGGACTCATGAAATATGACGTGGCGGGAGAGTATGACACGCTGAGGAGAGAGATCAAAACAGCGGTAACCACGGTGATCCAGCGGATAGCCTAAGAAGACGCATGGCGTGGAGCGAGGAGCAAGCTTGTGTGGAGTCATAAACATCATATTCGGATAACAAAGACATCCAAACGTACGAAGGTGGTGATAGGACGCTTCTTTCTTGAATAATCGAGAGTATGGGCTGTTATCATCAATGGCTGAAGATGGTAGTATGTTGAGAAGATGCACCGCCGTGTGAAGAGCTTCAACCCAAAACGTTAGAGGTAACGATGCTTGTATAAGGAGCGTTCGAAGAAGGTTGTTGATGGTGCGAAGCATGCGTTCGGCTCGTCCATTTTGCTGAGATGTGTAGGGACAAGAGAAGCGGAACTGGATCCCCATAGAGCTCATGTAGGCGTGAAAAGCACGATTGTCATACTCCCCACCATTTTCACATTGTAAAGCTTTGATCTTATGCTGAAACTGAGTTTGAACATAGTTAGAAAAATGAATGAATTTGGAGAGAGTGTCACTTTTTCGGAGAAAAGGATAAACCTAAGCATAATGAGAATGTTGATCAAGAAAGAGGAGATAGTATTTAATACCACTAGTACTCATAATAGGAGATGTCCAAATATTAGAGTAAATAATTTTAAAAGGTTGAGAGACTAATGTATTACAAGAATAAAATGGTTGACAAACATGTTTCCCAAGGTGACAAGCTTGACAGAAATCCGTCAAAGCTTTCTTATTAAAAAGCAAAGATAGAGAAGATAAATTGCGAGAGAGAACAGGATAAGAGGGGTGGCCCAACCGGCGATGGCAGAGAGAGCCATCAAGAGAAGACGCATCAAAGACTAGTGGTGATGAGGGACGAATAGATGGAGTGACGGTGTAAAGAGGACCGGAGCTATCACATCGAAGGAGTTTGGTTTTGGTGTTGAGATCCTTAACACAAAAGCCAAAAGGGTCAAATTCAATGGAACACCACTTATCCAGAGTGAATTTTTGAACAGAGAGTAAGTTTTTAATGATAGACTGACAAACAAGAATGTTTTTGAGATGAAAAACACGAGAAGAAGAGGAAAGAGTACTGTTACCAACATTAGTAACATGTGCCAAAGATCCGTTCCCGACGGTAATAGTAGGATATAGGCTAAAATTAGAAGTGGTTTGAAGGGTACATGTATCTGAGGCGATGTGGTTTGTTGCGCCGCTCTCCATGTACCATGGAGAAACGTTCGGGTTAGTAAGCGCCATGGTGTTAAAAGCATGAGTGATTTGAGCAGGCAGCAAATTCTGCGTCACATGTGCTTCATATGCGGGTCGTGGGGGAGGTCCAAGTAAGCCCGGTTGCATCATAGAGGGTGCGCCGTAACCGGAGTATGGATATGGTGGCCATGGAGGAGGAGTGTAACTGTTTGGCCAGTAGCCGTTGTTGTTGTTGTACTAACGGCCTCCGCGACCATGGTTGCCACGACCGCCACGTCCTCGACCACGTCCGCGATGGTTTCCACCAAAAGATTGTTGTTGGCAGTTCGTTGTGGTCTGCTTAGAGCGGTTGGAGTTGTTGTTTGCAGGAGCAGCAGCGTTTGCAGTGTAAAGAAGCGTTGGTGAAGAAGAGGAGAGTGAATAAGTTGTGGCAGTTTTGATCTGCTTCTTGAGGCGATCTTTTTCGTATTGTAACATCGACCTAGTTTCAAGAAAACTTGGAAAGGGAGATTTGTGTTTGATTATGTTAAGAATACTATCAAACTTGTCGGACAAACCATTAAGGATATGCATCACCAATATACGTTCCAACACAGGAGATTCGATGTTAGCAAGAAGATCAGCAATACATTTGAGTTTCTTACAATATTCGTTGACCGTGAGATCTCCAATCACTGTGGTGCGAAGCCCATTCTCAAGCTAAAGAGCACGGGCTTCTTTGTTGTAAAAAAACAAAGCTTCAATCGTACACCAAAGATCACGAGCGGAGCATTTTGGTTTCAGCACAGTTACAAGGATCGATTCCGAGATCGTCATGTAGAGCCACATCTTCACAAGGTTGTCATGTTCCAGCCATGAATTGTCAGCCGGTGTTGGTGTCGCAGAGGTGCCGTCAATGTGACCGATAACGCCAAAAGACGAGCAGTGTGTTTCGAAAAGTTCTCGCCACACTTCATAATTGAGTTTTTCCATGTTGAGAGTTACATGAACATAAGCTTTGATTTGAATTATGGTGAATGGTTTGTCTGTTGCGATTGGTTTTGGGAGGTTTTCAGCCATGATAAAGAAACAGAGAAAAAAAGAATAGAACAGAGAAGAAGAGAACAGAAGAGGATGAGAAGAAAAAAAGAGAGAGACAGCGAAGAAGAAGATGAGGTGAATGACGGTAGAGAGAAAAAAATTTTTGTAGGGTTTATAGGGAAGAGGCTTTGATACCATGTTAGAATCGATAAAACTCCCTTGGAGTGCTCTCTTATTAGGGACTCATATATAAAGTGTTACAATTGTAACGTATGAAATTTACATTGACTAAATTTGCATTTATATTGCCTAATAGGGAGAAGTATCCTATGTGATAGGAATTGAAATATTCCATGACATATCACTAGGAGTTTTGGGCTTATCTCAGAAAGGATATATCAATAAATTTCTTGAGAGATATGGGACGATGACATGTTCCTATGCAGAAAGGTGAGACGGTTAGTCTAAAGCAATGTACGCATAATGAAATGGAACGTAAGAAATTGGAGAAGTACCCTTACGCATCTCCTGTGGGAAGCTTGATGTATGCACAGGTTTGTACTAGAACTGATATAAGCCATGCAGTGAGAATGTTAGGAATATTCCAGAGTAACACAGGAATCGCACTGGCAAGCTGAAAAGAAAGTTTTGAGATACCTTTAGGGAACAAGAGATTTCATGCTGACATATAGAAAATCAACACATCCACATATGGTTGGATTTTCAGATTCAAATTTTGGTGGATGTCGTGATTCTAGACACTACACTCTTGGTTATACGTATATCCTTTATGGAGGTGCCATAGCATGGAAAAGCCAAAAGTCGTAGTTGATCTACACACCCACCATGGAGGCTGAATAGGTCGCATGTTATGAGACTTCTATTTAGGGAACCTGGTTGCAAAATTTTGTGTCTAAGTGAACTTTATTGACAAACCTCTAAGTCTTTACTATGACAATGAAGCCGTAATATTCTTCTCGAAACATGATAGTATATCTAAAGGCGCCAAGCATATGGACCTTAAATATCTATCACTTAAGCAAGATGTTAAAATAGAAAAGTTTGTCAATAAGCATATAGGCACTGAACTTATGGTCGCAGACATATATACGAAACCATTACCGCCCAAGGCCTTCATAAAGCATGCAGAAAGTATGGGTCTTGAGGATAGCTTTCATTAAAGTTGTCTGATTATGTATAGCATATATTGACAATATTTTGAGCTCCTTATGACTTTTACATCTTTATATTCATTCTGTTTCCAATGTGTACACATTATTGTTGATTTGGAATAATGAGAACTAAATGCCTCTTTACTAAAAGACATAAAAGTAGTTAATGTTTTAGTACATGGAAGGGATCATGTTGCAAAATTATTTGTGACCGCCATGACTCTCATTGATTGTTGGATTAGCTAAGACACTTATGATGACCAAATAAAGGATTAGAAAATAACAAATTATGCCGGCTTTATGACTTCTGATTAGAAAAACATACTGGACTTAACTTACGACCAAGTGGGAGAATGTAAGAAATATTATATATTTCTCTATTATGTGGTCGTATAGTCATCAACGGAGTTTTCCGCTCGTGAACAAGTGGCAAAAATGTAAAGGGATGCACAACAAATGTGACGTAAAGACGAACGAAAAGTATCTCTGGAATAGGGACAAATGTCGCACAACCACGAAGAATTTTGAAATGACGAAAAATATCGGAGATTCGCGACAAGTGTCGCGGAACGATGACACGTATCACGGAAAGTGACACATGTCATGAAGTTGAGACATATGTCGCACATGCGAAGACAAATGTCACGAAAAGTGACACGTGTCATGATAACACGACACATGTCGTGCAAATACGTGTATGCGTGAAAAATGTCACGATTACAGACATGTGTTGATCTCCGGCGTTTTTACTTGTCACACATGCATTCTTCCGTCTCTTCCTGGATGGCGGAGCTTGGTCCCCTCTCCACCTATAAATACAAACATTTAGTCCATCATAAAGGCTGTTCGGAAAAACCGCAACATTTAAAGAAAGCCTTTGTAGGCAGGGGAAGAGAAACCAAGACTTCCGAATTAAAGATCAAGCTTCCGTTTTCCATCAAGAAACATATCAGGAAGACTTATTCGCTGCGATGACAGAAGGTACCCCGATAACCCTTCTTATGTCTTTATTATGTGATTAATTCAGATGTTTATAGATCATGGGATTTATGTAAGTGAATGTAAGTTTCACTTACAAGTGATTATTCACTTACATATCCTACTAATCCTAACATGAAAAAAGAATCATGGATAAATTATAGGTATGCATTTTTTGTGATGGCATTTGTGGATTTGCCATTTTTGCTAAAATAATATTTTAGATTTGCAATTTTTCAGGTTATGAAAATACCGATTAAACATGTGTTCTACTCGTTATGTTTGGATGTAGTCGGTTCTAATTGTCTTTAAGGTTTAGTATTTACTATAAAGTACTTATTTTAGCAAAAAAAAAAGTTCAAAAATGACAAATCAATAAGATTTTAGTAAAAATGACATATTTGCTAAATTTCCCCTATGAATGGCATTTTTCGTAAAAATCCCAAAAATCATTAGTAAAATGCAATAACGTTATGAAACTATAAAAGTGAAAACTAAAAAAGATAAACTTTTGAAAAGTAATTTATGTGGTGGTATTTTGTGAATGTTAAAACAGTTCTTTAAGACATTTCAAAAAGCTCATTAGATACTATGTTGAAGAATTAACTATGGTAGTTATACTTGTGCCACATAGCTAAACCATGAGAGGTCATTTTGAAAAAAAACGACTAGGCCCATACGAACTTGCTTGGAAAACTATTGTACCATCGAACACAAACTCATAAATTATTAATCTGGATGTGCACTTCTATGGAAACTCCTGTATAAAGATTCTATCCAAATATTTTTCAGTTATTAGACTTTGAAAGCTACTCCATCCGTTCCAAATTACAAGATTTATAAATTATTTTATTTCCATTTCATAAGAATTGTTTCTGATTTTTATTCAGCATTACTTTTCTTTAGAGCATGTTATGACAATTTGTAATCTCCAGTCCCTTTTTTATTGGTTAGTTTTTCTAATAAATATCTAATTATATATTTTAATTAAAATACCACCAGCACGTCAATCTTCGGCCTTAACACATATCCCAGTGTCTTATTTTGTTCCCTACGTATCTGTCTATTCCAATATGGATTACATATTACGTTTGCTTTTTTCTGGAGATCAAAATGGGTTCTGCCCCTGGTTGTTATGGTATATTTGGAAGGCTCGAAATGCCAAAGTGTTTGAGAACATAGATACAAGCACAATGGAAATAGTCTGGAGTGCAAAAGATGAGGCTAGAATTTGGTTTGATGCTCAGGTTGAGGATTTAAGCCACCCAAGCGAATTGGCGGAACCCCCCATGGGGAGGAAGGGGCTAGCAGATTCATTACCTTCCACATTTTACGGCTATCGATGTTTAATAGATGGATCGTGGAAGGACTCAGATACGTATGCAGGTTTAGACTGGTTCTGTCAACATGCCTAGGATCCTGCGAGAATGATGGGTGCTATGAACATCCGACGAAGTCTTTCTCCTCTTAATGCTGAAGTCAAAGCGCTGGTATGGGCTATGAGATGCATGATTGGACATAATATCAGAGACGTGATGTTCCTTACCGACCGTTCTGACTTGGTGAAGATGGTGTCTTCTCCGACTGCATGGCCGGCGTTCTCTATTTACTAGGACGACATTATCACGGACAGGGAAGAGTTTCAATCTTTTTCGTTATCTCTTGTTTCTAGGAATTTGATTGTAAAAGCGGACCTTTTGGCACAACAAGAGAGTTATTGATTTTACACATCAGGTGTTCTCCATTCTGCCCGATTTAGATATGCGTCCATTCAACGAAAGATTCCAAACGGACCAGAATGAGTTAAGCTACAAACTAAGTTGTTCTACAATCTTGGTCCATGAGAGAAGCCCAGCTAGGTAGATTCAGTGCAAAAAGAATGAAGAAAGATCAATATTCGTCCATAGCAAAATAGCATTGAATTCTCTCGATTTCTCTCTCTTACATGCACTTTATAGTTTGAATATCATCTCCTTATATGCTCTGCATGTTGAGCTATTATTATGGACGTTTTTGATGTATTTCCCCTTTATATAATGAGGTTATCTCATGAATAATAAGAATAAGCCTTTTTGATATTTTTGGAACCTTGGAGAGTGTTTAGCATTTTTCGTCAATGGTGTGTAATACCCATTGGTTTGGTTTATGGTGTGTAATATCCATTGATCAATGCATGATCTGTCTTGGTATGTCATATCCAGGGGATTTTGTCGAGAGTGATTCTCATTTTAACCCTTGAATTCGTATTAGTGTGTCATATCTAAGTGATTCAAGATCGGTAAATTAACAGTCTTTCGCAGCTCTTGTGCGACCATTCGCTCCACCATCCTTGTTCTCCGTGGCTTCACCGTCCGTTGAACCTAAGGAATATCTTTCACCATCTTAGAGTGTCGAGTCCTCGGGAGGATCATATCACTAGGGCGGCGTCTCTGGGTAATTTCCGGTAAGAAGCAGGTAGATGTGGTTGGATGTTCGAGTAAAAAGTAGTATTAGATATGTTGTAGATTTCATTTTATGTGTTTGCTATGCTAATGATAGAGATTTAATACTAACATTTTTCTCGCATAAATGGTAATACGAAAGGCAGTTTATAAGTGCAATTTAGGAATGGGTACATATTAGTGTAAAATGATAATCTAATCATGCAATAAAATTTGGCGAGTTGGTCTTGATTTGATAGTGTTTGCAGTGTATTTAGAACTCTAGATTTGGTTTGGTGGTTTGGTATTACAAAGTAAATTGGTTCGGTATAAGTAATCGAAATGACATGTGGTTGTGACAGAGATAATTAATAGAGTTCTGAAATAGAGTTGTGTGGTAGTGTAAATATTGTAAATGCAATTGACAGATAGTTTGAGCATGTATTAACTGAAAAACAGTTGAAGGTTGTATATTTCAATTTATAATATTGTTTTATATGAAATATAGGTAAGATTGTTTTTGTGACATTTTTGTGTTATACTATTTATTTGTATGAAGATAGACATGACTGCAGTTTTCATATGAGGCCTTTGTTATTAATTATATGAGTTTTTGACCTTATGATTGTTGTCATTTCCAGGAATGGCATCTCAAAGTGTTGAGAAGGGCCCGAGGTACCCTACAATGCAGTATCCTAAAGGAAAAGCTCCATTCATGAAAAGGAGCATGCACCATAACTCCACACTGGCCAGTTTTGGATATATGAAAGAGTGCATAGGTGAATATGTGTATAATGACATCCGAGATAATTCACAAGTTAGAGTTCACGTCGGGAAAAACTATGGGAACAAAAGGAAGTCAGATGAGGATGAGGCAAATGCTGATGATATTGTTCCACTACTGATGCGGAGTGCACGTCGTACAAGAATTGATATAGGGAAGTTTTTGCCTCAGAGAAACGATAGAAGAAAAAGGTGATTCTCAAACTTTTTACCCATCTAATATGTTTTTATTTCCATCTATGTGTATTGTTATGTTCTGACAGAGTTATTGGCATCCATTTGTTATGTTCTGATGGAGTTATCTTTGACGTGATTGAAGTTAACTCATGTGGCGTGGCGATTTGAAGAGGATATATACCTTTTCTAGCTAGATGAAGTAGGTTTGTATCCGAATGGATCAGTGGGAATCAAGCTCCTGCACAATTTGTTCCAAGACATCTTCCTTGGTAGTGTGGATTCAACACAATGGGAACTTGGTAAAGAGAAGGTTGCGGGTGAGAAGATGATGGAGAAGAGGAAGGAGATAGTGCAAAGTGATGATATTGTTGACCCTCCTCCAGTGAAAACAACCAAAGATTACCTTGAGAAGATCAAGAGGGCCTGTGAAGTTGAAGGATGTGACTGATGATAGTGGAGAGGAGACCGAGGCTGCTAAGATGGAAGAAGAAGGATCACTGGTCTTGAGGGAGATGTGGGACAATTGAAGATGGACTCTATGAATTCAAACTTTCGAGTGCAACTGAATATGCTAGGGACTCAAGTGAAGGAGATTGAGAAGAAAGTCACTGTTCTTGAGGGAGATGTGGGACAATTGAAAAAAGCTGAAGAGACTAAAACAAGTAAGAAGGGGAAGGAAGTGAAGCATGGGAGTTCTATGAAGATAGGGCCGACTGCTAATGATGAGTAATCTAAAACCGACGATGCTGCTGGTTCAGGGGCCAATGAAGAGGTATGAAAAGTTCTCTTATATTCTTTCATGCATTGGAACCATTCATTACAAAATATGGTAAAAGTATATTGGTTTTTTATAAAGAAGCATAGTTAGTGGCAAAACATGTGAAGCTAATTTACTCACTGAATTTTCTTCTTCTATCTTTAACTTTTAAGGGTTTCTTTTGTATTTTTAAACACATGGATACTTATGTATGTGGTATTTGCTACTTAAGTTTATGTATTTCAGATTTTCTTTATTATCCAAATGGTTGCTTTAGCGAATTATCCAGTGATGAGTAGTGTGGTTATCTGATATTTCATTCTTATCTTAATCTTTTCGTTTTAGTCTTGGACATTACTGCAGAAGCAAACATCTAAGTATGAGTTTCCAGTCTCATGTGTGGTCAAAAATCCTAGTAAGAAATCAAGACTCTCTTTGAAGGAAGCTAGTGGAGTTTCAACAAAGATAATGAGGGATCTTTCATCTGCGCCTAAAAAGAAGAGGACTGAACTCGTTACTCCTTTAAAAGACACCTTCATCTCAGGAAAGTTTCGAAGGTCACATAGTTCACCACCTCTACAGAGGAGGATTGATTTTGGGTTCAGAAATGTAGATGTAGAACGAAAAAGCCTTCCTAAAAGACTTGCGGCAACCCAACTCCATCCTTACATTGGCAATTCTGTGGTGAAACGTATACTAAAGGGGAAAAAGCTGTCACCAGCCCATTATGATCTATTTGAGAAGGTCACGACTAGATTGGTTGACAAACTCATGCAGTTTGTCGACGAAGATTTGTAAGTGCACATGTTGATGATTTTGTTATCAATAAACAATTCATCCTTTTTCTTTATTTAGTTTCACTAACATATATTGTTATCTGCCTAATAGGGTGTGTTTATTTGATGAATCAAGCTCCTCTGCCAGCTTCTACTTAAGATATTGACTCCTAAAGATTGGTGGCCTAAGAAAGATATTAACTTTGGTTGGTTGAAGGATGCGGTATGAAAATAGAGAAACCGTACCTTTCAACGCATTCGAACAATCCTCATCGCATACTCCCATGCGAAGCAATGTTTGCATATCGCATCTGCTGTCTCGTGGTATAACTTACATTTAGGGACTGTATCGATATGGAAATAGTGTTTGCATATCGCATCTGATGTCCCGTAAAATAAGTCACATATATGGACTGTATCGATATAGAAATAGCCTATAAAAAGGTGATATCCAGTGATATGCTACCCCAAACTACAACCTCAAGTGGCTCAGCAATTATAACAGCCTCATTAAAGTGTGATACGTTGTTTACAAACGTTTAGAGGTCAAGAACACCATCTTTAAAAGCACCACTACATATGAGAAATAGGCCATATGCACACCAACCATATAGGCTATATTGTGCAGATTCACCAATTAAATCCAACCGTTCTTGAGATGGACCAAATGCGGTTAGGAGGTGGATTGATTTAACATATTTGGCTGTGAGATTCTCATGTGCAAGACACCTTAACAAGAAGGGCCTATAGATGAAAGTGCGACTAGCGAGTTTACCATTGAAGAAAAATTCTTGCAAATCAACCTCTTTCAACACGATCTCGGTGTTGACGAGCTCCGTGTAAGCACGACCCGCCGCAATAAAAGGCACAAGGTAGCAAAAACAATGTTTCCTTACACGTCTTATTATGTCTGTCACCAAAAGAATATGAATGTAGGTCATTTGTAGTTTTAGGTTTCAATTCGAGAAAGGTTGTTTGATGTTCAGAGAGGATTAAACATGGGGTTATTGTTTATAGTGAAAGGGATTTTTAACCTAGTTCACCACTTTGGGTGATGACAATAAATGAAGTAGGTTGTGTGGTGGGTACTTTTTAAGTAATAGTTAAGGTTGGTGAAGAGGTTGGTGTGGTGGTTAGGTGTTTAAGTATTAGCAATTAATTGTTTATAAAATAGACTTACAGACATCTTAATAATAACACAGACTTATGCATATACGTGCTACGTAATAAATTTATGCATAGGGCGATAATTGTGTCCGAAAGAGTAATGGACATATAAATAGCGAGATAGACTTATGCATAGGGCGGTAGACTTATGCATAATGATTTAGACTATTGCTTAGCGAGATACACTTATGCACATAATACTGCTAGTACACGGCCATGTCAATATAATCACCAAAACACCAACGACATACGTAGAGAGCAAGATACATTTTACGTAATACATGTTTGTCGGTTGTGGCCAACCTCACCACATTTTGAACAAGCATTCCCTTTTCGTGGTGTCTTACGCTCTATTACAACCTCCATGACACCTTTTACTCTATTATGCTTTGGCCAGCGTGACTGAGTTCGTACAAGTGGTGGGTTGTACTTTATGCAAAGCATCTGGTACATGGATAGACTCATCCTTTGGCATCATCGATCTTGCATACCTATGGTATAGGTACTCGATCTGATAATATGGATGACACTTGGAAATTCTAGAAACCTTGGCGGATTCAGCCGTTGCTATCGCATGAATGCAAGGAGGTTTTTTAATGTCGAACATACGACATGAACACTTTTTATGTGAATATTTTTTATGTGATAGGTTTACAACATTCATAGACGAGCCGCTCCTAACTTCATATTGATGCAGATCTATCCCTTTTCCTTCATATTGCAGTTTTAGGAGTTTTAGCATATGCATTTGCATACTTTTGCATTTTGGAGTTAAAACAGGTACTCTCAGGACATTTATGAACATTCGAGGATCAGGACCCGATCGAGTGGACTGTACCCGACCAAGGTGGATACGACCGATTAATCGAGTGGAGTGAAGGACCAGATTTTCAACTAAGGCATTGGACTCGACCGAGTATCGCAGAAGGACCTGAACGAGCCCAACCTGCACCCTATTGAGCCCAATTGCAACAAACCTTTTATTTTGTCTCTATTGAACTAGGGCTTCTTTCTCTCACTATAAATAGACCTCTTTCCCTCATTTGTGAGAAATCTCGAGTTTTGATTAGGTTCTTATGCATTAGGCACCAAACTTTACAGAAACTTGTAATTTTAATATCTCTTGATCTATTGAGTTTTTGCTGTTGCTTCTTTATATTATCTTACTCCTTAGATCATTATCTGTCTGATTATGCATTATTTAGAGATTTATGGGTTTGCGTTCTTGATTATGAACTCCAGATTTGAGTAATTTTCTAGGGTTTTGAGGATGGGATAGGTTAGTGAATAATCTTAGTCTCTAGTGGTGTTTAATCTTTTGATTTAAATAGATCCCTTCTGGATTAGAGAGGAATCTTAGTATCTAGTTTTTGCATTAGCCATGTGGGATTAAATGTTAGACATTTTAGCACCCAAATGGTGTTTGATGAAATGTCTTATCCACTGATGCCAGAGATCTACTTACTTACATAAGCGGTTAGTTGTTTAAGGAGTAGATTGACATTAATGAGTTTGATCTTTATGCCTAACTATTGCATGTTTCATCAATGTGGATTGAGATTCGGAAGTGCTTTAGATTTTATAATCTTTGCCAAGAGATTGGACTGATTAGGTTAAGTGTTTCATTGTATAAGATTAGATCTATTTGAGAATGTTAAGCACCCCAATGAGATGAAGAAGATTCATTAGCCAATTAAAATCATCCTTGAGACCTTTATTCATTTGATTGTTTACTTGCTTTCCATTTCTGCTTTAATTCTGCTTCTGTAGTACTTGCATGCTTAGCTTGTATTTAGTATTGTTCTTTGATCCTTAGTTTCATTATGTCATTTACTTTTATGTATTTGAATTGATGATCCAAACTGTTAATTGCTTGGTTTAACTTGTTAGCTTCTATTGCATCCTGCTTGTTTACATCACACCAAAATTGGATCGATAAACCATTTGTACTCATTGCACTAAGGAGATTTAACTCCAAAGGATAGACAAAATCCTTGTTTTAATTTGGCGCCGTTTTCATTTGGGTGTTTGTTTGTTCCAATTAGGATTACAACACTTTCAAGATTAAGTTCTTTTTACTTCACTTACAAATTTGATTGTTTGTATGCTTGTCTTTATGGGTTTCAGGTACACACTCGACCGATCTACAGATAGACTACTTGATCGAGGTACAGATAGACTACCCAACCGAGTCACAAATCAGCCACCCGACAGAGATTGTGGTCATGTGACTGATCAAGTTCTTCTTGAAGCTTTGCATGCAAACCAGATCAAAGGGTAATCAACACTTGCTTAACTACCTTGAAAATATTGGCTACTTGACTTGGCTTGCTCAACGTCTGCCTCAAAAACTCTATCAGCAACGTGTTCAAGCAAGTGTAGACCAGCAACAAATGGAGATGGACCCTCCACCAAGAGCACCAACGCGCATTGGAGCTAGTGATGCTCCTCGCAATCACCCTACTCGTCAGAGGAAAGTGCCTCCCGTTGTTCTGAATAATAACTTTGAAATAAAGTGCAGTATGATTTCTATGATTCAAGGAAAATCATTTCATGGGCTGCCAATGGAAGACCCTTTAGCCCACCTCGATGAATTTGATTCGCTGTGTTGTCTGACTAAGATCAATTGTGTGAGTGAAGATGGGTTCAAACTCAGACTATTCCCGTTCTCCCTTGGGGATAGAGCACATCAGTGGGAGAAATAACTACACACGAGATCTATTACCACCTAGGAGGACTGCAAGAAGGCGTTCTTGGCCAAGTTTTTCTCCAACTCAAGAACAATTCGTCTGTGCAATGAGATATCCAGTTTCGCCCAAAAGAATAACGAGTCATTTTGTGAAGCTTGGGAGAGATTGATAACCCTATATTTTTATACTCTTAAGCATATGTTTTGTGCATTATTTGCATGTCTAGGTCTCTACTTCTTAGGATATCTAGTCTCTTTGCATTATATTTCGCATCTAGGATCTTTAGCATAGGGATTTGCATATCATCTGCATTTTAGAGCAGAAACACGTACACTCGGACACCG